AGATCATCTGGTCCAACCCCCCCCTACCAAAGCAGGATCACTCAGGGCAGGTTGCACAGGAACGTGTCCAGTCGGCTTTTGAAGGTCTCCAGAGAAGGAGACTCCACAACCTCTCTGGGCAGCCTGTCCCAGTGCTCCGTCACCCTCACAGTAAAGAAGTTTTTCCTCATGTTGAGGTGGAACTTCCTGTGCTGCAGTTTGTGCCCATTGCCCCTCGTCCTCTCACTGGGCACTGCTGAAAAGAGACTGGCTCCATCCTCCTGACAGCCACCCTTCAGATATGTATAGACATCGATAAGGTCCCCTCTCAGCTTTCTCTTCTCCAGACTAAACAGCCCCAGGTCTCTCAGCCTTTCCTGATATGAGAGATGTTCCAGACCCTTAATGATCCTCGTAGCCCTCCACTGGACTCTCTCCAAAAGTTCCCTGTCTCTCTTGAACTGGGGAGCCCAGAACTGGACACAATACTCCAGATTAATGATGGTGTTAAACAGGATTGGACCCAGTACAGACCCCTGGCATACATCACTAGTGACTTTCCTGCAGCTGGACTTTGTATGACTGACCACAACACTCTGGGCCCAGTTGTTCAGCCAGTCTTCAATCCATCGCACTGTCCACTTATCTAGCCCATGCTTTGTTGACTTGTCTATCAGGAGGTTATGGGAGACAGTTACAAAATCCTTACTAAAGTTGAGATAAGTAACATCCACTGTTCCCTCTTCATCCATGAACCTAGTCACCTGACTGTAGAAGGCTATAAGGTTGTTCAAGGAATATGTAGTACTCTATTTCCAGAATGTAAACTGATCTTGTTATTTTTAATGTCATTAGTGTCATAATGTTAATTTTTTAATGGGCAGTTTCTGTCTGAAGAGAAAATTCTAAAAGCCTCTCTGTGAACACTGTATGAATTACTGTAGAACTGTGAAAAGATTGCTCCTTTTAATAAGTTTTTAATACTTGGGAAAGAATAAAACACAGGGGAACACTTGTTGCAGACCAAACTCCACACTGAAAAGATTCTTTAGAATATTCTTCTGTTTCAGAGCTAAAGTACCTCCGAGCCTTCCCTTAGAAGATTCCCCTCCCCACTTCCCAATTTAATTCACAAGAAATCTAATATCATAATGGCAAATACGTTTTCCTTAGGACTTAAAAGGCTACACCTGTCCTGCAAAAATGTCTTCAGAATATCCTGGTATTGGTATGAAGCGATGCACACTGCAGTGGTTTATGAAGAAAATGACTGGCAATCTGGTCTGATTACCACTTTTTCCATTGTTAGCATTGCTGTTAATTTAATAACTAAAAAAACCTTAACTTGAAATTCGAGTATAAAAAAAATGCTGTTATTTTGGTCTCGCAGCTCACTGCATGCATAAGCTGGGCATTTCTATGACCAGAGTGATAAAAAATTGCAAAAAAAAGCTCTTACAGAGCTGGGGAGTGGACCTGTATTCACAATTCCCATACTGTTTCTCTGTACTTGCTCCCTTTTTGGATTTGAATGTATGTCATGTTTCTTGAAATGCTGCTTTTAATATCAGTGTAACAGAATCTGGCTCAGCAGGAGAGAAATAGTTACCCTCTATAATCACTGAAAGGTTTTACCCATTTTTAGTCATTTTTGCATTGCTGTTCTGCCTTTTTCTTATTAATTTCAACAGTTTCTTATTACAAGTATTTCTGTGTCACTGCGTCATCATTCCACTATTGCCAGTTGTTATCGAGTGTTGAATAAAAATATGCAAAGCCTCCTCTACTTTGGGATGGTTGTGAACGCACTTCTCGGGGCAGAACTCGGCCGGTATTACTAATGCCGTAACGACAGGTAGAAATAGGGCGTAATTGTTTCAGTACTGGACACTGGGAGTGAGCGGCTCCTCCGTTCTGGTTATCCTGAGTACTGGTCCTGTTCAGTCCAGGAGTCCTGTTGGGCAATCTCTTCACAATATTACTTGTAGCCATTTTCAGTACGTGATTCAGTACATCTTCTGTTTCTTTAGCTCCATTTGATACTCCCACAGTGCCTGTGCTGGCTGTAGCCCTCACCTGGGGCTACGTTCAGGCGTATTGGTTATGTGCTGTGAACAAGATTCTGTGTGTTCCCCTTTCACTGATAAATAGCGGACTTCAGTCTCCGTCACTGCTTAATCTAATGCTTTTTCGCGGTACTAAACTCACTTTAAAAAGATGTTTTCCGCTTGCCAGATGGTTATTTTGACTAGAAAGTATCCTATTGTGTATGTCTCCAAAAGGCTGATTTCTACGGCTTACATGTGGTTTCAAACACTTCAGTTTTCCACTCAGTGGAAAATAAACTGTCTTTCAAAGTGACAAAACACTGCTCTTCACAAAAGGGTACTCTCACTAGGCTTTGTGGAATTATTTCTGTACAGTACCTGAAGTCTGACTCTGGTTAGGATAAGTACAGTGCATTGCCTTCTAGGACACCCGTGAGCCTCTGGGCACAGCAGGCACTAGTGGAGGCAGGCTGGGTAGATCAAGTGAGCAGAGCCCGGCAGCCCGACCAGGGGATCTGGCTTGATGAGTGGCCACATATGTAATTACATACCTATGTAGTGTATCTGGAGATTTTCTGATGACAATTCCTGTGCAAGAGAGAGATAATTTTTATCATACTCAGGTGGAGTAAATCACGGAATCACAGAATCATTAAGGTTGGAAAAGACTTTCAAAATCATCAAGTCCAACCGTTAACCCAGCACCAAAATTGACTTTAGTGCAGTCAATGCAGCTGTAAAGCTTTTACTAAAGAGTTGGATCCAAGTCTTCACTGTAGTTCTGTGCAAGTGATTATGAAATTTCTGTTATGGAAGAGATTCTTGAGTTAAAAACGGGATTTGGATTGTGAGACTAAAGGACAAAACCCTCCTGCTCTTATTTCTATTAGAAGTCTAGGAAGAAATTTGAAGAGGAAAAGGTTGTTTTGGGTTGAGATGCTGTTTTAATTCAGTATTGTTTTCTTCAATCCTTATTTTGTTAGGATTGTCAGGGGATTTCTTGCGTTCCGGACGATACTCTGCCCATACCATCAATGGTGCCTGGTCGCCCTGGTCTCCGTGGTCTCAGTGCAGTCGTGACTGCAGTAGAGGTATACGGAATCGCAAACGGGTCTGCAGCAATCCTGAGCCCAAGTATGGGGGACTTCCTTGCCTTGGCCCATCTCTAGAGTACCAGGAATGCAACATTTTGCCTTGTCCAGGTAAGAGTCGAATGAAGTGAGAGAAGTATGTGAAAATAAAATAACTCATCTTCAAGGCTATATCTTGCAATAGTTGGTTTGTTGTTTTGGATTTTTTTTTTTCAGTTGGTGGGTTTGGGATGTGTTTTGGTTTTTGAATAAACTACAGCTCAAATTTACCTTTATAATGTAAGTGGATTTGGGTAAGATTCCCAAATGATGTCAGTCAGTTTATCATCAATAATATTAACCGCTACGTCTTTTTTTACTTGTGAGACTCTGACTGTAAAAATATAATTTTAATAATTAAATCTATAATAGAAAAAAGACATCTGGCAAAACATGAGAAATCTGGCCTAGTCTTTATTTAAACTCAAAATATCATTTTCATCACAATGGTTGCTGGCATTAAATCTGTGCTAGCTTTTGAGCATAGAGCCTCCAGCAAATAAGATTCAGGACTAGTCACCAAACTAGATGGTAACTCAAGTAGGCCCTAAAGATTTTTCTTGGAATCTTTAGCTTCTCCTTCACTGAAAGTTGTTTTATGATTCTATGAAAAGGATTACAAGTAGAATATATGTTTTCAAGAAGCTATTTTGTGTTGCGAATCATTGTTGTATCTTAGACATTTGGGGAAGAAAAAATCTTGATTTCAGTCACCTCTCACCCTTCATAAAACAGACATCCAAATTCAAAAGCTTTTGAGCTTTGCAGAGGCTTTAATACTCTAATTCATTAGTTCCCAAACTGCAATCATAACACCTTGCTCTTCTTGAATAATAAAATTATAAACACTTCTCTTTCATGTGGCTGCACTGTTCATCTGTGAAAAATTTTGAAGGTTCACAGTAATGCGTTAGGTCAAAGATTCAGGAGACCATTGTACCAACATGTGCAAGCCTCCCCAGGGGTGCACACAGTACCTTCATTAGGTGGACCCAGATTGTCTATAAAAGGTGGCCAGGTTTGTTGTTCATCTCTTGCTGTTGATTCTTAAATTAAATGCTCTCTTGAATTTTTTTGCATTTTTTTCCAAAGTTAAAATAAGTTAAAGGTTTTCAGAAGTGGTATTTTTAATTAGCTCTGCAGCTAATACACTTTTATATTTTGTTGAAGGAAATTGTTCCAACCAGTAAAACACATAGTTACGCAGACATAAGTTTGATGTAGAGGCCCTTGTTGTTTATGAGATAGTCAATACCCAAAACTAAAATACACAAAGTTGCAAGGCAGAACTTGAAATTGTGCATTATATAAAAATTATTCCCACTTCTGCTGTCTTTGAATTTGAAAATATTTTTAAAGATCAGTTGGTATAATGTGTGGTGGGCCTTTCTGAAGCAAGAAGGGGTGTCCTGAAATATCTAATAACTTTTTTCAGAGACAAGTTTTCATTTTTCTTATTAGTGCAAAGCAAATTTGAATGAAGATGCAGAGCTTGAATGAAGCATTTAGACGCATGATAGCCTGCAAGGAATAAAAAAGTTCCTCAGCTACAGAACTACTGTTTGCCAGTAATTAAGAAGAAATGTAAAGGGCTAAGTCAGATCTCAGATAAATCTGAAGGGAAAACATTGCAAGCGGTAAATGTAATTGATTTTTTTTTTTCTTTAAGACATGGGAGAGTAAAAAATGATTGCAGAATAAGGCTTATCCATAAATTAGACCTGATTATAAATTTGTAGTAAGGGAATAAATTTTTGTTAGAGAAGCATACTGATGAAATCGAATTCTCTCAGTTTTTAATGAAAGTTGCAGAAAGTTAAATTGGTGGGTAAACATGAACATCTATTAGGTTGATATTCATGAGACCTCTTCAAGAAAGGGGAGACATAAACAACACATGGGTGAAGAGCCTTTGCTCCAGGCCCATGCGTACAAAGCTGGCAGACCCCATGGCAGGGGCACAGACCAGAGCAGCCAGGAAGAGAAACCATGGTCGGATCAGTTTTCAGCCTTCTTGTTAACCGCTGTGCTAGGGACTGGATTTCATTTCCTGGGTGCTTATATTTAGGACAGCTATATAAAGTGAGTTTCTGAAATGTCCCCGTGGGGCTTTGACCACACAGCCCTTGCAGATGTTTATGAGAAAGGTTGGTGTAGGTACAGATCTCATGGTGGTATTGACTATACCTTCCTCACATGGGACTGGGCTGTAGGTAGAGTTGCAGGGACTGAGTAGGAGTAAACATGTCAAGCCCTTCTTGCCGCTGTGAGCATCGAGGAGAAAAGCAGGGACTCTGCATGGTTCATTCTTGCCCAGGTAAATAAGTGAGGTGCAGACAGAAAGGCTAAGGAATGCGAGGAGGGTTTGTTCTGACAGCGACACAAAGGTAACGGCCATAGTACTAGAAACAAAAATGCAAAAAAGGAGAATTTGGTGCTTTCTAAGAGTTACCTGAGCTCCCTCGGGGTTAAGGACAGCTTGCTCCCTGCTGACACAGAACCATTTAGTTGCAGTCCAGTCCAGTCATTAGCCTTTCAGAAATATTCTGGTCAGTAAGAAGGGGCAAGATGGCAGCCATAAAGAAGTGGTGGAGAAATGTATTGAGCAGTGCTTAAGTCATGCTGAAAGTCAATAGGACTTTATGTTTTGGAATCAGTTAATCTGGTCTCAGTGTCAGCCTGGAAGATACTAAGTGCTCTGAAGGACTGACACAGTGAAAAAGCCCATGGAGCAATCACCGAGTGTAAAAGGCTGTCTGGTCTGGTTAAGTGTCTTGCAGCATTGGTTTAAATATACTTATTACTATATTAATTGCCAGTAATTTATGGTTAAACGTACTGCAGGATCCCAGAACTTTAAAAAAATACTGAAGCCATCTAGAACCTGCCTTCAGCAGCTACTATTAAATGTTTCTTGAGCCTGCAGGGGAGAGAGAAACAGTGAAATTTTTCCCACAGCTTGTAGCAAAGTAAATGGTCCACTGACGTGCAGATTGATAGCAGTCACAAAGCAGATTACTTTTTGTTCATAGTATTTGAAGGCTGAATGAATATGTAATAGTAAATCGAACAATGCCAGAAAATTGACAGAAATTGTACCCAGGCCTGGAAATATGATTTGTCTGTATTGTACAAGTTTTAGAATGATCCCTCATACAATTTTGCCTTCAACTAACTAGTTCTCTCCCAAATAATCTGCATAAATAGTTTGGGAGTCAGTGTAGGATAAGGCCTGTTCCCAGTACTCGGTTTCCATGTGGCCAAACTGCTTTGAGGGGCAGGAGAATTTGCACTATTGTCTTGCACTAGCAAATTATGCTTTGGCCATGTGCCTCAGCTCCTTTTTTATGGCTCAGAGATGTGGTGAATAGAGTTGAGCTGGCAAGCACTGAACCGCCTCAATAACTATGGAAAAGATCTGTGAATACTCATGGACATTTCTGTTTTCTTTGAGTTACTAATACACGGTCAATATGAAAAGAAAGGAATCTATAATCAGACACATTAGGGTTTTGTTATCCTTGGGGGCTTGCGAGATATTTATGTTATGAAGAGAAATACATAATGAAGAGAAGCATTGTTTGAGTGGCAAATTCTGCAAATCTACAAGAATTGCAGGAATTTACTAAAATATTTGTTTGCCTGAAAATAATAATAACCAAACATAAGGAATTCTGTCCTAGTTCACAATATTACACACCTCTTCAGTTATTACTGTAAGAGAAGACAAATTTTTGCTTCATTTTTGTTTCATTTTGTTTCGTGTTGCCTTCTCTTTTATTCTTTTGCACATAGGGACACTTGGCCAATGTGCCTTAATTACGAGTTTAAAGCATAGCTACGTGAGCACCATTGAGTAGCACAAGCTACAGGAGTTCCTGTTCCCTTTTCTCTAAGAGATGGCAATGACAGTTGCCATCTCTTAGACTTGAAATTCTGATACTTCATGACAATATTTTGGGATTTTACTAGTTTCCAATTTTTATTATACTGGTTTTAGTTCGGTTTAGTTACGACATTTTGGCTTAGAAAAACTGAATTAATTCATGTATCACTAAACGTGCTGATAACAGTAGTTTCAGATACACAAAACTCCCTGAAAGACTGTATAAGTTATTATATGCATCCCCTAAAGCCACTTATTGCTTGTTGTTTTTTTCTTCATTATTGCTTTTTTTTCCCCTCCTCCTTTTTTTTGTCTCCTTGCAGTCATACTTGGCCACAAAGAAACAGGAATATATTTAAAAGAACAGACAAAATTTATCCTGCAGTCACTTCCTAAATCAGGGGGAAAAAATTACTCTGGTCCAATAAAGCTTGTCTCTGAGGCTGCTGAAGCCCGTCTCTCCCTGTGCATTGATCTGCTTCTGTAGCCAGTGAGGAGAGGGCTGAACTGCCCTTTGGAACCAACTGTTGCTTTTCTAACTTAAGGTCTCAGTTACAGACTTAAACCCGCATTTATCCTTAGATTTCGTTGCTGTACTTCCCTTAGAAGCGTTTCTTTGCCTTCTGTGTCTCTGCACTGCACTATGTTGACCGTTGGTTTCGTCCAGCATTGCTTTTATGAATGAAAGGTATCTGTAGCACCACAGAAACAAGACTTTGCCTTTGCAAACTATGATGTAAAAATTGCTCTTTCCCATACTGAAACATGCAGCGATATCCCACAGGATTAGGAAAAAGCAGTAGACTTAGTGATGTGGAATGGGATGATCCCCAGGTGTCTGGAAGGGAGCAGTACTCTCTTGGGACTGTAGGCTGCTCGACACTCAGTGCCCCCAGACTTAACTTTTACTTAGCCACTGGGAAGCACGCTATCCGCATTTCTGCGGGTGGAAAGAACTATTGCCCCTCTATTTACACTCCTTCATAGAAAAGACTCGGCTCTCAACATTTTTTATTTTCTTTTGCTACACTTTTAAAAAGATGAACGTGAAAAGTTACAAATATAAAGGCATACACCAAAAAAAAAAAACAAAGACTTTTTTTTTTTTTGGTTGTTTAAATTCTAAATGAGACCAGAGAGTGTATGAAAAAGCCTGCAATCCTATCTGTGTTCTCATGAAAGCATGTGAGGTCAGTGTGTCTGAAGGAAGCCCACGCTTCCTTCCACTTCCTTGTAAAACCCAAAGTGCATAGCAGGGTATCCAGTTTACTTAATTGTCTCTTGGAAATTCTCCAGCAGTGTGGATGTTTTGTCATGTCCCCAGGAGATCCCGTTTCTGTACACTGTTTCTCCCTAGTACATCCTCTTCCCTATGTGGGTTTTTTTTTCATTATAGTGAAGAAATATTTATTAACCACAACAGCAGGCACTAGGCAAAAAGTTGTTTGCTTTACTATAAAGGAAAAAGCATTATTTGAGAGCACCCTGCTACCTTCTTCCAAAAGGGACCAACCTCAGTAATTGCCAGAAAACGTAAAGACTCTTTGTATCTTTCATTGTGGAACTGCTTTAACGACTTTCTTTTGTCCAACAGCTCTACAAAACTGTTATGTAAAGAAACCATAGTGACTGGAACTTTCCTTGCAGCTGTGTATTTTTCCTCCTATAAGAAGCAGAAATAACATTAAGGACTCCACGACAAAAGGAAAAAAGAAAAAAAAACCCAGATAGTGCTGTGTTGCTAAGCAACTTTAAAGAAAGATGAAAGAAGCCACAGAGCTCTATTTCGGTCTTGTAAAAAATCAAGCAGTAAATACCCATCCTTTGATCTTATTTAACCATGGTGATGCTTTATCATCCTCTGTTGCTGAGAAGGAAAAGTTCTGGAGATAAATAAAAGAGGTACTTACGATAGTCCTTGAAAGGCCTAGAGATTTAGGATGACAGCCTGTCAGTAAATAGTCACTAAAAAACAGTTGTAATTACACTGTCCACCTCAACCGTCATCAAATCTAACATCTATTACATGATGTCTGTCCTTTCCAGCCTTACCCAGACCCACTTCTCCCTTTACAAGTCTTGTAGAAGTCTTACAGCACAGCCATGACCACTGCAGTTGTGGAACATGGTGACATTCCTGGATGTCACATCGGTCTCTATGTTCTCAGCCACCTATAGAGAGATGGCAGATGGCAGTTTCAAATGCATGTGCATTTGTAATTCTCACTCTGGTCCATTGAAAAATAAGTAGAAAGTGTTGGGGGTCACTGTCTCCATTACAGTGAACAAGCCACAGGTAATGTTGGCAGACAATTTATCTTCTGTCTAGGCAATCTCAGGCTGTCACTCTGTTTTGTGGAGGTCTATACACTGCAGCAGAAATGCCTCTGATTATTCATTTAAGGTAGCCAATGATCATTTTAAATAAAAAAAAAGAATCAAAAAAGGGAGTATCTGGAAAAGTAAAGCCTTAATATCCCATGAAACTAATAGCTTGGGTGGCAGCTTCTGCTTTTATTTGACATAATTTTTTTTTAAAAGAAGAGGCAAGCTCTGAATAAAAGATACTATGTCTTGGAACTCTTATAAAATTGCACAGTATATTTTACCTGCACTGAAGACAAATAACCTGTGGCTTTCTTAGATATGAGCTTGCATAATACTACATTAACAGAGTTATGTCCAGCAAAAAGACGTATTTGTTTTCCAGTGACTATATGAATAAGAGAACAAGAGAAGAACTCTACCGAGATGCAGTATTTATTTATGATAGATGGTATGAAACTCTTTCATACATCTGTATAGCTAGATGATATATATCCTGATAAATATATCCTGGAAAAAATGTAGCAATCATTGAATACCTTAATAATGGAAATAATTTATTTAAGTAACATACTTGGAATATAGTATCAGATTCCAGGAATCCTGTCTGTCCAGTCAGGCTATTCAAAGGCCAGATACATTACTTGTAAAAGTTTTTACAACTATTGTTCTTAGCAAGGAAGTATCAACTCCGAGCTTTCTTGATTTCTAGGATAATGTTGCAACAATACAGAGAATAAAATGTTATGTATTCAACAACTTCACTTAGTTAATAGCCTTAGGTATGCACTAGCGAATTACCTGTTTGATTAGCAGTTGAGAACCTGAGGGTACCTGAAATTACATTTAAAAATGCACGTATAAGTTTTAATATAAAAAACCCCACATTCTTGTAGCTCATTTTCTCAGTGTTGCAGCCTTTGCATAGAAATCATTCTACTCAGCTCACCAAATGCATTCATGATATACAATGCTGCCAAAACAAAATTAGTATTTTTTAATGTTCTATATCTCCATCTAAGAGAGAATTTAAATGCAAATACTATACAGATATTTTCATTGTAAGGTAATTTTTTTCAGATTTGGAACCTCCTTTTTTTTTGTAAGAGATAATTATGGAATAGCATTTCAGTAAACCAGTGGAACATGGTTTACTCCTTGAATGGCTGTTTGATTAATTGAACAGAAAGGATCAAAAAGAGGCATTGTGAAATGATGGATGAATGTTTGGGAGACTTCAGTGACAATCACTTGTTTCAACAAACCATGAAATAAAGTCTTACAAGGAATGTCTTAAATGAGTGCATTTTAAAAATTATGTAGAGAAAATGTGTACTTACCTAGTATTTTTAAAAGCAGACAATAATGGGTTTCTGTCCTGTGTAGTAAAATGCCCACTGCTGCTGTGAGTGATCAGGGAAAAAAAGGTGGAACTTCTGCTCAGTTTAGGGCCTGGTCATAAAATTAAACTTTACTGGCGCGTTGCCTTTATTATACTTAGGGTCTCATCTATTAGCGTCGGTTGAATTGCACACTGTTTCTCTTAATCAGTTGCAGACATCGTAAATCATTTCTTTACTTAAGCATTAAGAAAGCAAGTGATAACACTTTAAATAGAGGTTTGAAAATAAATTATTTTTTTATATGAAAATTTTTAGTTTAGATTTTTTTGTTGCCTTTTCCTCCCCCCAAAAAAATGGAAAGAGAAATGAACAAAATACTGAGATTCTCTGCACAGGAAATGGCATCCCTGGGAGAAGTACATCTGACACTGTCGTGTGGCTGTAGATAGGAAGCCTTTGGCAGATGGGCTGCAATATGGCCATAAATGCCAGAAATACATGCTGGAGCAGTGGCTTTAAGAACAGAGGCCACAGAGGAGCCAGTCCAGCGCAGGCACTGAGGTGAACTTCCACTAGAAGCCTGTCCAGTGGCCACGTGTCAAAAGCCATCTGACGAATGGGGCCCCCATGAAATCCAGCCTGTGTTTCAGAGGAATCTTGTGAACACTCAGGCTGGAGAACTGTTTGACATACTTGAATTAGTAAATACTAATGGCGGGGGGAAACTAATATTTATTCTTCACCAGCCTGTGTTTGAAACTTTAAGTGGCAACTCCTTTTTGTCATTCATCTGTTGGGTTTTTTTTAATTACTGCCCTTGTTCTGCTGCTGGCATCTGTGCTAGAGCTGTAACATTATATTGGCCCATCAAACCTTACAACTGCGTTGGATCAATTGAAATGGGGTGTAGGGTTAAGGCAGTCTCACCTGGGTTGCGAAACAAAATCTGCATTCCTCCATCTCTCTGATGATATTATTGGGCCAAGTTTTATTTTATGAATAAAAAATCATTTTGCACTTACAATACTTCTGTCAATCAAGCTTTGGTATTTTATTTCCTCACAAGTGAGAAAAGGAAAGGAAAATAAACAGAAAATAGTTTTGTCCTTAAAGATATTATGGTACCCACTGAAAGTGTCTTATATATGGATGAGTAACTTTGTTAGGCTTCCCAATATACCGGGGGCTTTTAAAACGTATAAATTAAATTGAATTGTGGTAAGATTAAACTTGTAGGCCTATGTTCAGTGGCATCTAAAAATGTCCAGTAATTTTAGTAGGCCATGAATTAGATCCACAGAATATGAGAAGGATGGGTTGGATTATGTCATGTCACGCATGAACTTGGAACAATATGAGACTTTGTGTCTTTTCAGTGGACGGAGGCTGGTCTTGTTGGTCGTCTTGGTCAAAGTGCTCGGCAACTTGTGGAGGAGGGCATTACATGAGAACCCGCTCCTGCACAAACCCCGCACCAGCATATGGAGGAGATATCTGCCTTGGGCTGCACACTGAAGAAGCACTCTGCAACACACAGCCCTGTCCAGGTATGGCAAATCAGCCCATGCAGCTTTGGTCTTTATGTGCCACAGAATAAGGCATCCACAGTTAGGCAACATAATGTTCCTTGATCTATTGTTTAGGAGCAAATAATTTCTCTCCCTTACTAAGTGCACAATCAGCTCTTACAAGCGGCAGTCACAGTAAATCAAGCGATAGCAGGATGTAGCCTACAGGACACCACCTCCTCCCACCCCCTTTAAAAGTTAAAATTTTAAGTTACCAGGTTCCAGGTCTGAATAAAATAAAATTGTATGATATTTGAAGTGGATCATGCAAATGGCCTGGGAGACTTTTAATAACAATATCACAGAGAATTGCATTTGTTATAACGCTAAGCATTCACAACAAGCAAGTTACTGAGGTTAATATTCAATATGTGTTCAAGGTCCTTCAAGTAGATAATGTTTGCCCTGTTTTCATATAAAACATAGAGCAAACCTTAATGCTCTTTGTGAAATACCTTTTTCAACTTTGGATATTAAGGAGTAGAGACTTCATCTTTTTAAATGACTGTGGAGTACTTAGTAAATGAAATGTCTCAGCACTCCTGATAGTTGTATGATACTGATCGTGACTTCTTCTATAACTTTTACTCTGCCTTTTGACCCATATTAAAAGAAGCTGGTTTTTTTCATGACATCTAAGTGAGAAGTAGAGACTAAAGCCACATAAACCTAGATAAAATCATTAGTGAAAATCCAGTGGGAAAATTTGTTTTCGTTTATTGCTGATTAATGGATTACAGGCAACAGCAAAAGGAAATAAGCAGTTCTGATGCCACATTGTATTATTTGCTTCACTTAGAGCTCTTAGACTTTATAGCAAAAGTTTTTTGCTCGTATGATGAGGCTGTGCACGTGAAGGCACAAGCCCCATGAGTTTGAATTTATGGATTCTATTACCTGTGCTGAACTACAATTTAATTAATTCCCTTTTCTAGGCTCTGCATGTCTTGCAGCAGAATTAAAGTACCCACTTTGTCAAAATTAAAGCAGATGCAACATTCTGTATTGTGTTTTAAAAAACCCCAAACATAGAAATTAGTTGATAATTTGATTTTTCGAGACAAATAGTGTACATTTGTATGTAGAAGTTACATAGCTGCCTTGGGATCCTTAAGGCATCTTTAAAAGGTCAGAACTGGTGGGTTCACTGTGCTAGTATTGTAGCTATTTCTCTTGTTTCTCATTTATTTCCTACCATCATTTTTCCAAAAAATGACATTTTGCAAACATTTATAAATAACCTCTTCATCTTATTTTGGCCTGCTTGTTACCCAAATTTTGGAGTAGATGGGGGGTGGAGGAGGAGGTTGGTTTCATTTTGGTTCAAGAAAGTGAAAAGCTTTATAAAGCAAGGTTTTTAAATTTCAGAAGGTGAAGTGTATTTCTCACATTCTGTGATGTTTTATTAATATTTCAACCTCACTGAAAATTTGACATAGGTTTTTGAAATAGCACATCATCAACTAGCTGTGAGAGTGGCCCTTGCCTCATGTTTACGATGTAAATTTCAAAACTTTTTTTTACTGCTCTTATTTCACATTGGTACGGGACAAAAATAACGGCAGTGCTACACATGTCAAGTTTGGACAGACCCCTGCACCCCTGCAGAGCCTTATTCTTCTGGTGAGGATTATATGGCCACTGGTTCTTCCTTGTGCAGGTCTGGAAGTACCATTGGTGACATTCACTACTTGAGTGACATGTTTAATATAAGAAGGGAATAGTAGTGACACTTGGAATCTAAGAACAACCAACCAACACAGAAATGCATATGCAAAAATGGAAATTATTTGTAATGTCTCCTAAGTTGCAAAAAGAGCAAAGATTGCTTGGCATTTGAAACAGTACCTTTTTTTTTTAGCCAAACAAAACTAGCAGAAAACTAAAATTTCTAGAGTCAGGTTTGTTGAGGATATGGAGGGTTAATGGCAAATCCAATTGAAAGTACGCAAGTATGCACTTAAAAAAAAGTAACAGACTTGTGTCTGCAAAATACATCAGTTTTTCTCATCTTTCATTTTAAAAGCTATATCACTGTGTTTGTGTTTTTTCTTTTTAATTTATCCAATTGCAATCACATTAATATGAATGGAAGTGCTGCGCTATTGATCAGTAGTGGTTTATGGGCTGCTTATCAGTAAATGTAATAGGTTGCAATGGTGTCTGTGATGTACTGAATAAAAAGGTATTTTATACCTAAAGTATTTACAGCTGCCGTAAGAGGGGAAAATGTTCTGTCCTTGAATTGCTCACACATGCAAATAATGGATAAAGCAGCCGAGCGTTTAGAAATGCTGGTGTAATTCTGCATGAAGGAAATTTATAATCTTACAGACTGGTGGCCTGATCTTTCTGAGGTACCTTCTTCACCAAGGGATCTTTCAGGAACTGCTTGGACTTAAACTGGCTTCGAAGGCCAGCCAAGACTCTGTAGGAAGAAGACATGACATCTGAGTAAGCCTTGCTGTGTTAGAGGTGAAAAGCAGTTCCAGATTAAACATGTCTCCAGTCCACCCTTTCTTTTCCATTCTCATGACTTTTGCAAAGAACTGAAGAGCAAGTTGACAGGAGCCTGCCTGAGGTGCAAGAGAGCCTCAGATACTTTGAAGATAAAGAAATTAAAGGGATGAGAGAGGATAACTGAGTCTCTAGAAGTTCATGCAAAAGCTGTGGGTTCAGCATCTCTGTGATGGCAGAGAGAGTGACTCCACAAAGGGCAGCTCTGCCAATTTGAAATGGTACATCTGTCAGTCTTGGGTGCCTTACTTCTGTGTGACTCTGAGCTCCCAACAGTGGCACTCCTCAAAACACAGGTGTGGTACCAGCAACCACTGTTGCAGGGATGTCCATCCCTCTCGCACGGATGTCCCCTCTCTTCTGTGATTCTGCGTGCCAGATGGAGCATGGCACCAGACCCAGTGACTACTTCTGCTCTAGTGCCTGGGCTGCACCGTGGGACTCCAAATGGGAGGGAGATGCCCTGTGCTGCATATTCCCATACCTGTGGGAAGGTCCCAATGCACATAGTATCTTTTACAGGTCCCCCAAAGGGCAGGCTGAAACAGTAACCGTGCCTTGTCACCAGTATGTGACCTAACATAATCTACGCATACTTTGAGGTCCCTATTTTATCACAGGATGTAGCGCCTTCAGCAACGAACCTGGTGGGCTAAAAGGACATTGGACAAGATGGGGCTGCAGCGTGCACCAGCCAACAAGCTGCATTTAGGATGCTCACGAGCATTTTGGCAGCTGCTGCATATATCCCAATTATACCAGGACTGAGCGAGAGTATTGGCTCTGGCTTAAGCATGCTCTCTGCCACCGATGAGAACCAGGCCAAGACTTGTAATGAGCAGCATTCCTTTAAACTTGAATGAGTAGTGCTTTACTCTTACAAAATACTTAAGGTAGGGATCCACGTACTTAGTTTACTTAGACCATCAGCTGACACTGGCAGTGACAACAGCAGCTCCTGGATGTGCCACGCTATATAAGCAGGAATAAGCCTGTGCATTTCCTTGACTCCAACCTCAGCTCTCCTACCCCCCGTGAATTAGGATCCAACTACATTATGTCATCTGCCTCCATGCTCCTACTACCCACTCGGCAAATGAGGCCCTCCCCGGACTTCTCCTAGGAAACAGAAGAGACGAAGGCTAGATTGCTCCTCACAATAACAAGATCCTACTGTTTGACATCAGCTGCTTGTCTCAAGGTATTTGACACTCAAAGGACGTTCCTCTAAAAGGGTGACACGGCCGACAGCCCAGCTGAAGTGCCTCTACACCAACGCACACAGCACGGGCAACAAACAGGAGGAGCTGGAAGCCACCATGCTGCTTGAAATCTATGACCTGATTGTCATTACTGAAACTTGGTGGGATGAATCCCGTGACGTGAGTGCAACTATCGATGGCTACAGGCTGATCAGAAGGCACAGGCAAGAAGGGTGGAGGCATTGCCCTTTACATCAAGAAATGGATAGAGTGTAAAGAGCTGACTCTGAGGAATAGCCACGAGCAGGTCAAAACCTAATGGGTAAGAATCAGGGACTGAGGCGACAAAGGGAACCTTGTGGTTGGTGTCTACTACAGGCCACCCAACCAAGGGGAGTCTATTGACAAAGCCTTCTCACTCCAGCTACAGGAGGCATCACACTCACAGGCTCTCGTCCTGCTGGGGGACTTCAGCCACCCCGACATCTGCTGGAAAAGTAGCACGGTGAGCTGTAGGCAATCCAGAGGACTCCTGGAGTGCATGGAGGATAACTTCCTATGCCAGGTAATAGACAGCCCTACCAGAGGGGATGCCATACTGGACATGTTTGTCATCAATACATGTGAGCCAAGTGGTGACGTCAAGATTGGAGGAAGCCTGGACTGCTGTGATCAGGCTCTGGTGGAGTTTGCCATACTGGACCTGTTCGTCACCAATGCAAGTGAACTAATTGGTGACATCACGATCGGAGGCAGCCTGGGCTGCAGTGATCATGCTCTGGTGGAGTTCGCAGTCCTGAGGGACATGGGGCAGGTGAAGAGTAAAGTCAGGACCTTGAATTTTAGGAAAGCAGACTTCCAGCTCTTCAGGGAGTTAGTCAATAGGACCCCCTGGGAAACTGCCTTCGAGGATGGCGGAGCAGAACAGAGCTGGCAGATCTTTAAGAACGCTTTCCAGAGAGTGCCAGAGTTCTTCATCCCCAGGTGTAAGACATCTGGTAAGGAAGGCAAGATACCAGCATGGCTGAGTGGAGACCTGCTGGGCAAACTAAAGGGCAAGAAGAAACTGCACGGGCAGTGGAAGCAGGGACTGGTATCCTGGGAAAAGTACAGGGATGCTGCCCTGTTATTATAGGGATGAGATCAGGCGGGCCAAGGCATGGCTAGAGCTGAACTTGGCAAGGGTTGCAAAGAATAATAAGAAGGGCTTCTAAAGGTATGTCAGCCAGAAAAGGAAGATCAAAGAAAGTGTCCCCCGCC